CATTAGGGTCTTAAAATAGAGACTTTAGGGTGGACTTAAAGCCCTAGAAGCTACTAAAAATATCTCTAACTTTAGTAGAATAATAGTTAAGTATTTCTTTATTAAGGTACTCTTTAAGGAAGGGTTTAAACTACTAGAGGGCTTATCCCTTAAGGAAGGTAGATATATAGATAACCTTTTTAGTTTTATTTTTAAAGTTATTATAATAGAAATTCTAGTAGTTCTTAATTTAGATAAGGAATCCCTTAAGCTATCCTAGGGATCTATTAAAAGAATTAAGAGGGTTAAGTTAAAGCTTCTTTTATCCTTTCCTAATAGGGGTAGTAATAATATTAATAGTAGCTTAAAGAGTATAGTTCTACTATTTAAGTTCCTAGGTATACTAGTTAGATAGGTATATAGTAGCCTAAAGTTCTTTAGTAGTATAGGCGTTAGTATTAAATATTTCCTATATCTATTAGATATTATAGTTAGCTTATATAAGCTATTCCTTAAGCGTATTATTATTATTACTATTATTATTATCTTTTATTCTCTAATCCCTAAGTTCTTAAGTAAGGTTCTTTTTAATAGGGGCCTTCCTAGCGCTAGAGGAGGATCTAGTGCTAGGGGTCTTTCTAGAGAGTTATAAAGATATTATAATACTATTAGTAGTTTTTAAAGGGTAACTTATTAAATAGGAGTAATTAAAGTATTATAGCTAGCTAACTAATAGTAGGTTTATATTAATAGTAAGTTAGGGATTAAAAACTATAAATAATAATTAGTTATTTTATAGGTCTAGTTAAGTAATTATAGGTCTTTAAAGGTCTTAGTAATTAGTTAAGGCCTTAATAAGAGTTATAAAATAATTATTACTTAGGTATAGCTAAAAGTATTATAAGTAATAATTATAAGTTAATTACTAAAGAGCTATAGAAGTTTATCCTTAAGTGGACTTAAGTCTATCCTATATATAGGTCCTGGGTAGTCCTATTGCTGGGTGCTGTATATGCCCTGTATAGCTCCTGTATCCTTGGTATATAGCTTCTGTCTTTCTGGAATATAGATGCTGTATCTTAATTATATAGATCTAATCTCTTATCTTATTATTACGTAACCTATACTATAGTTCTTCCGTTCCTAAGGGATCCTTATGTATTCCCGTGATCCTGTATATAAATATGTTGTTATGACCGCCTAGTATCCTAGTGGGGCGTCCTTTGTTGGTTATGCCTAATGGGTTGTAATACTGAGCTTAAGTCCATCTTATAAATAAGTCCCAAATAGTTCCGTTGTGTTGGATAGGTAGGATAGCTCCTATCCAATATATCTATAGATAGCTAGGATAGCTTATATCCAACATATCCATTCTGCTTTTAGTCTGTGTCATTCCCGTAGTCGTCTATAGTTCTTCCGTTCCGAGGATCCCTGATCGTCCTTGTGTCACTGGGTTACATATGTCCTTCGTTAGCCGCCGAGAGCCTAGTGGGGTTGTGTTGGTAGCTTTGCCCAACAGGTCGTAACAAGTACGCCGTATCTCGACGCATTCCAACACTGAATACTAGAGTAGGTTTTCAATGGACGTTATAATCATCCTTTATGTTCAGTAGGTTAGGTTGAAAATGGCACTAAGTAGATCTGAGCTGCACCTTTAATACTCAAATTTGGTGTTTTTTTCGATAGCTTGAACTGCTAGAATTATGCTAGCCTCTTTGTTTGATGACTGTATCATTGTGGTGGATGGATATGTGTTGGAATAAAAAAAAGATGTAGCGGTCGCTGTTGAGCGATCCGCTCGCTTGTCCGATCCGCTCGCTTATCATGCACGTTATAGTTTTTGAGATTTTACGCATCAAATGTTAAAGCGGTTTAGACATAAGTGTGTTTAGAACAAAACGTCCGGCTGACTGATGAACCACGTTATAGATATGTATAACTTAGAAGTTGTCCTTTCCCGCGAATCTCTCGTTCTGCACGATCTCGACCCAATAGTTGTCAGGGTCCAGCAGGAAAGCGACGTTCTTCATGCGGCCGTCGGTGAGGCGCTTCTTCCAGTTGCACTTGAGGTCCTCGAAGCGCTGGCACGCGGCGTCGAGGTTGTCAACGGTGACGCCTGGGCCATGATTAGCTCTTGCGATGGAAAAAGTCGCCTGGATTGCTTGTCGGAAAACTCACAAATATGACCGAAGCCCTGCGGCTGGTCGTTGCCGTTGTGGTAGCTGAAGCCCTCCTCCTTCTCCGTGCCGTGGTTCCATGTGAGCTCGAGGATGCCCTCGCGCTTCGTCTGGCTCTCACCCTCTTTAAGGTCGCCATACGCCAGGAAGAAGAGCGTGAAGTCGCTCGCCTCGTTCTTGCGGATCAGCGTCATGCCCAGGACATCCTGGTAGAACTTGAGCGACTTCTTGATATCCTTGACGCGGAGCATCGTGTGGTTCTAGTTGTCGTCCCCATCAGCTATCTTCTCCTCTCACACCTTTTGTCGTCTCTTCTATACATACCATTCTGTACGTAGTCACGTCCGTCTGCTTTACCTCCGCCGTCTCCTCAATCGGCTTCTGCCCGATGATCTCAACCCAGTACTCGTCCGGGTCCAGCACAAACGCAATGTGCCGCATCTTGCCGTCCGTGAGCTTCTTCTTGAACGCGTACCCGGTGTCCTCAAGGCGCTGGCATGCCGCCTGGATGTTATCGACGCTGATGCACATGTGCCCGAACCCGCGGTGCGGCTCCACATTGCCGTTGTTGACCTTGTACTCCGGGTCCGACTCGGTGCCGTAGTTATGCGTGAGCTCGATGATGCCCTCGCGGTCGAACACGCTATTGCCCGCCGATAAGGCCTTAGGCGAGTCGTATGCCAAGAAGTACAGGTTGAACTTGGCCTCTGGCGCCTTGATCTCCTTGATGACGGACATGCCGAGCATCTCGTAGAATTTGACTTAGAAGGGTTGGTTAGTATAACGCATGAAGCACGGTGTAGGAGTGAGTGCGCACCGGAGCGCTTGGGGTCTTTCACTCGGATCCTAGTATTATTCAGTCGTGGACTGCGGGAGTGACGAAAGGAGCCTCACATCGAGTGGTTGAACTTGTAGTTCTTAACATCCGTCGTGGTGGCCATGGTTGCGGACTGACTGATTCGTCCTGTGAGCAGTTATCAGTAAATGATTGATTGCGCCAGGCCGCCAATTGAATCCGTGGCTTGCTGGAGGGCTTAGTTGTGAGTGTGTTTTGAATAAGCTTAATCCTCTGCAGGCCTCGGAGGGAGTTTATGGAAACAGGTGAGCAGGTTTGTGAGATGCAGCTGGAACAAAGTCGGGGATGAAACCTTTAGAACTGGAGCTTTTTCGGACAAAACAGTGCATGACGAACTTTCACAAGCTCCCTTATATCATCACTGCCATCCATATTTGTCAGCAGGGCGACAGCTTTTACGCCGCCGCTGGAGCCTTGCCCCTCATGCTGTATCTCCGGCCCCCCGAGGCCCCTCCAACCCCACTAACGTCAATATTTCGAGGATCCCTGATTTTCCTTATATCACTGAGTCACATATGTTTTGTGTTAGTTGCTGAGAACCTGGCGGGGTCGTGTTGGTAGCTAAGCCCAACGGGTCGTAACAGGTATGTAAAGAAGGATAGTTAGAAGGTGCGTCTAGTCTGCCGGAGAAGTTTTGGGAACGCGTTAAGGTTTCACATCTAGATAGACGGAAACCAGAGGAGGAGTTAGTGGTGATAGCTAACCGCGGACCTTAGGGAACAGCCAATCATTATGCGTAGCATAGTGTGTCTGAACGCATTCCAATACTGAATACTAAATTAGGCTTATTTAAGAATCACCTAATAATAAGTCCTAGGATACGCTCTCTGATGAGCTTAGGATTCGAAGCCACCTGGGGTTTATTTAACGATCACTCTGTTTACAATAAAGTGATGAATCCTAGACTAAAGAAGCCCTATGTGGCTTCTCAGTTCCTTACGAGGTTACTACTTGCACCTGGGAAACTACTGTGACTTCCCGTCCAGTTGGTACACCCAGGCCTTGCTCGGCGCCAACGTCCCCTGAATGAGATTCTCCCACGCTCCCTCAACCCCACCAGATCCAGAAACTCCATCGCCCTTGACCAACTCAAGGTCACCAAGATACTTCTCCTCAACTGCACTATTAAAAGCCTTCTCATTCTCCTCGAAGAACTTCTGCCCGCCCTCTGTAGCAAACCCGATATCAATGACGAATGTCGTGTTGAGCTCAACAGTAGAGCGAGACTGCCGCTTTGACCCTAGGAGAGCGACCAACTCATCGGCAGTCCCCATCTTCGGTTCAACTCCGATCATGACCAGCGTAGTTTGCGTCTCAGGCAGTGCCTCTGAAAGTGCCTCAACGAAGCGCTCAGTGGTAGCTAGAGGTGCGCCGTGATCAAGAACCACGACACGCTTCGGCTCGAACTTTCCGATCCACGCAACGGTCTCTCCAGCGGTCAGGCCATCGTAGCTGACGGAATTAACCTCAAACGGGGCCTGTGGCGCAGGCTCCAGGACTTTGGGTGACGACGTCGCGCACAGTAGGGCAAGCGGGCCATTAACGCCCGGCTTGCGGTTCCGCGTGAAGTTCCAGGTGGAGCTCCTCCCAGTCCTGCTCGACGCCGAGAGGTTCACAAGCACAGCGGCGCTAAGGTCCCCATCGCTATCCGTCCATTCCCCGCCGTATACGCCGAACGGGTGTGCTGGCTTGTACTCCGTCGGGAAGCAGAAGCGGTTGAGTACGTAACCGGCGTTCCAGATGGAATAGGCGTTGGCGAAGAGGGCCCTGGAGTCGTCGGACCGCGCTGTCTCGTCGACAAGGCTATACTCGTTGTACATGCTGCCGAGTGCTTGCCGGTGCTCGCTTACCTCACGGAAGCGAGTTTTGGGATCGTGGGTCGCTAGCTTAAGGTCGACTATATGGGACGAGGTCGGCCAGAAGCCGTACAGGAGGCTGCCGGCCGGGAGAGAGTCGACGTTGGACTCGAGCGCCCTGCCGAAGCCCCACGCCGGGACAATGCCCCACTCGTCCTTGTTGTTGTATGGGGCTGGGGCATCAGCAGGGACGGGCCACGTAGACCACCAGTGCACGAAGTCTCCAAGCTTAGCGTAGGTGAGGTTGTTGGATGTTATTGCGACGAGGGATGAGCGGGCTCGGATAGAGGAGGGTGCCAGTGCTGGAAGGGAGATATTGACTGGAACGACCTCATGCTGGGCGAGGTCCTTCTTGGATACGACGTGGATTGCGCTTGCCATGTTTAACTTCTTTGAGAGTGATCGATGCGCTAGTTTGAATGTGGGACATAGACTAACTTCCAAATCCAATGGGGGGGAAAGATGCGATTTATGCGCGTTTCAATTGAGGCTTAATGAGTAGGTTTCCTCGTCTATAGTTGGTCATGCAGTTAGCGGGGCTAATTATCAATCAACTGCTGGAGGCCTAAACTTCTCAACCCGTTTTCGCTTAGTAATCAATTTTTTTTTTTTCAATTAGTAAATAGCTATGAATGTTGCGGCTTCTAGACAGCTCAATCGGACTGGAGAAGATCTGGGCCTAACAGCTTACAAACGATGAGATGAAAGTGCCTGAGAGCGGGCGACGAGCCGTGTTTTGTTGCAAGTCGTCACCACTCGCCAGTCGCCAGGCTGTAACAAAACGCGCGGAGTAAGCAACCTCACAGAATGCACAGGTCCCTGTGGGGCGCTTACTCATGCGATAAAGCCGCGGTATGATAAGCAATCCTGCCGTTCTATTCCGCTTCATACGAGTGATGAATAACAGGACCCCGTTGTTTCGCCAGCGATCTCCAGGCTTCAAAGGCCTTGCTAGGTGTATACGCAGTAGTCGAGGTACGCAGGCCCCAACAGGAGGCGTGAGGGATATGGGTAGGGGTAGGATCATGGCTTGAGGTGGATAACCCATCATAGGCAGTAGGGGAGCCCGCAGCTGCCTGTGAGGCCATCGTGGGCCGAGATAGTAGTAGATAGCACTAGAAGTCTCCATTCCCTGTCCAGGCTGCGGGAAATGATGCAGGATAGCCTATGGTAGGGCTAGTTCAGGGAGGCAGGTGAGGGAGGCGTGTGTCCCAAGTTGGGTGTATCGGTCCCTGCTTCTACCAGCGTGGATGTTTATCGCGCAAGCGTTGCTTAGCAAGCCGCTTTACCCCTGATAAAGTATGTAGTTGACCTCATGGAGCTAGGAGAGTTGCGCCCTCTGTACCCAGCTAGTCTGTCTCCTCATTGCCTTTGATCCCCTGGTGCCCTTGGGCCCAGGGCTTGTACATTGTACCGTGCCACCGTAGAAACATGAATTGAACCGCCCATCAAGCATCTGAGGGTAATGATTAGGCATTCTGATGTTCGTAAGATGGCGCTTGCGCTTACACTTACACCTTGGACAAACGGTACTGCCTCCACTATAGTCACACGAGTCCGTCATTAGCCCCAGGCGTTTGAGGTTGGAATCCGGGTTTTCGCGGTTGAGACCCGTTTTTATTGTGGTCCGGCCCGCAATAAAGACGCCGGCCAAAGCCGATTTATAATCAAGCATCAACTCAACAGCACAAAGCCGTCAGACGGTCTAGCCTCTATGAAGTAGTTCTAATGAGGGAAAACGGACGACAAACTTAGGGAGATAGGTAAATGTTTACTATTTATTATCGCCTATTTTGCTATTGCCCTGATCTAGTTTTAAATCATCTTCTTTTGGGAAGAATATACTTGAAAGTAATCGTTTTTACCACAATCTATGATGGCCGCAAAACAGTGTGAGGCTCTTGTTACTGAGGTCCTGAGTACAGGATTGCCGACTATCGTTAAGAAGGCGATTCCCGTACCTCAGCCGGCTCCCAATCAGGCCTTGGTGAAAGTTTTATACGCCGCCCAGAACCCGACAGATGGTTAGATATCCTAGACCTCAATTGGCACGCATTGACTTGAAATATTGACACGAGCAACAGTTCAAGCGCTGGACAGAAATGCCTTTGGCGAAGGCGCAGTCCTTGGCTGTGACTTCGTTGGCACGGTTGAGGAAAGTGGCAATCAGGCGCGAAAGCTTAAGAGAGGAGATTTGGTAGCCGGTTTCATCTGGGGCGGTAGGTCTGCGTCAATCCCACGGTCGGAGTTGGGCTGACATTGTTTCCACCACAGGCGAGATCAAAGGCCTCGGAGGTTACAGCGAGTACACTTTGGCGGACAACAACATTAGCTTCCGTCTTCCCAAGAACATTACTCCTGAAGAGGCTGCCACACTGCCACTGGCATCGATGACGGCTTGGCTCGCCCTCTTCTCCAAAGATTGCCTGGCCATTCCCAGAGACAGCGGAGAAAAGGCGTCAGTTTTGATCTGGGGTGGAAGCTGTAGGTGATCTCGGAATTTAGCTATAACGGCCTGCACTGACTGGTTCTATAGCAAGCGTCGGCCTGTATGCGATCCAGATCGCAGCTCTGCACGGCTTCGAGGTGGTCACAACTTGCAGCGCCCGTCACTTTGATTTGGTGAAGCGTCTGGGTGCTACGCACGCATTTGACTATCATGATGATGACGTTATAGACTCAATCAAGAAGGCGGTGTCGGGTATCAAGTACGCATTTGACACTATCGGGAATAAGACCTCATCTGGTCTAGCCTCGCGAGCTATCGACGAGAATGGCGGTGGTTTGTGTACTGTGAGGCCGGGGAAGGCAAACATTGACGGAGTCACAAAGCAGACCAAGGTGTCCGATGTGTTCGTCTTCACTGCCTTCCTGAAAGAACACCGCTACGGGAAGTTCCATTGGCCCGTAAGTCATCATTGTTATTGCTTCTGCGATCTAGATAATGTTATTGACTGTGATTAGGCACATGAGGAGGACCATAAGCTTGGAACTGAGTTCTTTGAGAAGCTTCCTGGCTGGGTTGAGGATGGAAAGATCAGGCCCTCTAGGCCTAATGTTATTCCTGGTGGTCTTGATGGCGTGATGAAAGGATTCCAGGAGTACCGAGATGGAAATATCTCAGCTACTAAGCTCATCTATAAGCTAAACTAAGCATTCTTTCAAAAGACTTTCAGACTTTCTTAAGTTGAATATAGTATATCCTATCTAAAAAGGCTAGCTTTATTGTAGCATTAGGCGCATTGTGTTTACTTAGAGCGCACTACAGACGAGCGAGTTGCGCACCCAATCACAGCTACCTCACAAATAGAGCCAAGAAGCAACACCAAAAACACTAAATTAAACTATAACTACCACCTGTCCATCAACGCCATCAAGGCAGCTGTCGCAGCCTGGGATTACGGCCGCCTTCGCAAGCGTGTCTCGTCTCGTACGATACCATCGCCGGCAGCTGCGCTTCATTACAGGCTTCACGGTGCCCTCCAACAATGTTAAAGCAGACGCCTCACTAACTCTATCTATTCAATCAATAAGCCCGCAACGCCGTCTCATACATCAACCACCTCGCCAGCCTCAGCGTCACACCTTACGTGGTCTTTCACGCCGAGAGCAACTTCTATGACATCAGCAATGCGCCGATCATGGACACCACTAGGAACCGCAATCCGGATGCCTCTTCTTAGCACTTCATATGTCTAGGACAATTTCTGGGTTAGGGTTTAGTGTTAGGGTTTGCCCAAGAAGAGTAGCATTAAGTGGAAGAAAGAAGATATGCCAATCTTCATGGCCCCCTAGTTTATTAACGACGTCACCCGTGATGCTTCTTACCTTGTCGACGCGTGCACACTGAAGGAAAATACTGTTGAAGGACAATACTGACGAAGGATCTCGGTTTGCGTACGGTTATAGAAAACCTCTCTGGGTCCGAAAGCCTGTGACGCAGCATTTGCGTTTCAGCTACTCACTTATACAAATCGCGTTGCGCGACGGACGGCATGGCCGGACCAGAGATGCGAGAAAGGAGCCAGTGAGAGGGCTGAGAATGGAGAGAAGGACAAGAAACTGCACAACTGAGCTTCACTAGGCTTATGTACGCGCGATGGTGTTCCGAAGATCAGCATAATCATAGCCGAACTAAATATATTACTATGAACCCTCAGCGTCGCCGAGTCATCATGTCTCTCCAGTTGGAAAGCTCTTAGTGAAGGAGACCGCTGCCAGCCGTCAAGTTCAGTCCCACGGACAGGTTGCCAAGAACCGAAGCGCCGAGCCAGTTGCCAATATGGGAGTTCACGGCCTCGATCGACTCCCACATCACAAAGTGGCCTCCAGTTACCGAGTGGCGGGTGAGGCTGTCGAAGTACGTCTCCATCCCCTCCGACAGCGCAGGAGGCAAGGCCGGATCCTGCAAGCCACTGACGAACAGGGCCGGCTGCGGGAACTTGGCCGTCCACGTGGCATTGGTGGTCGGGAACAGCACCAACTCATCTTTCCAATTAGGCTCACTGATACGATACCAGTTGAGCGTCCTGTTAAATGGGTCGGCTGAGTAGTTCTCAACGTAGAAGGCCATCTCCTCGGGGGTCAGGAACGGCGAGTCCTCGGTGACCTGGTCGAGCAGCTCGAACTCGAGCCCATCACCGGTCGTGTTGAAGGCCGATACGCCGTTGGGCAGAGTGACACCGTAGGCGGTGTTGAGGATCTGGCGCACGCGCGTGGCGTTCTGCGGCAACCCGATGTATTCCTGGACCACGTCGGAACGGAATTGCAGCTGGTAGCGCAGCGAGGGCAGCGCGGCGGCTTCGTCGACATAAGTAAGGCTCGGCGGGGTGAAGGGTGTGCTGAGGACGAAGAAGGCAGAGATCAGCTCAGGGTGCCATAAAGCGGCACGGTAGGCAACGGCACCTCCCCAGTCGTGTCCGCCAAGGACGATGCGGGAGAGACCGAGGTGCTTCGCAAGGGCAGCGACGTCGTCAGCAGCACGCTTATAGGTGCTGAATTGAAAGAGTAAGCATCAACTTCTCAACAAGGGAGTGTCTAGGCCTTGAACTCACTAAAACTCCACCTCTTCCGGGGCATCAGTGCCACCGTAGCCCATCATGTCAGGAGCGACGACCCGGAGGCCCTTGGAGAGAAGGAGCGGAATCTGGTTACGCCATCCCAGGGACAAATCGGGCCATCCGTGGAGGAGGAAGATCGTGCCGACAACGTCACACGAAGCCGGCTCTGCGATGAGGTAGTTGTACGTGACGCCGTTCAACTTGGCGGTATGGTACTTGACCACAGGGTTTTTTCGAATCACAGCGGGCATTGTGGCGGACTTAGAAAGAGTGTTTGCCTAAGACGTGACTGCGATGTTGAGTACAGATGAGATAAACTCA